TGGGGCAATAAATTAAATCACTGTTGTGAGTTGTTGATATGAAAAATCTGATATGTGAACTCGTTCTTAGAGAACATTTCAATGCACTTACTTCTATTTTCACCGGATCTTAATTTTATAGATCATCAAGATTGGAGCATAGTTAATGTGACCTTGAGGTTGGACTCTTCAGTTTGAGTCTGGGTTTTGCTGTGTAGTTGGTTGGTTATGCTCCTTTCCTGGGCCAGTGATATCCATAGGTTGCTAATCTCTTACCCTAAGTCTCTATTGAGAGTGTTTTGTTTTTTCTGATGTGGATGGATTATTTAATATTCCTGTTATTTCAGTTATTGTCTCCTTCAATAATTTTATATTTGTTTTGCTCTACTTTATGTCCTGTTCAGTAATCTGTTTGACAATAGTTGAAATTCTAGTTTTCACCAGTCAGACTGCATCGTTCGTTTAGGTGTTTTTCTAAAAGTCTTCCCGTTTTTCCTGTGCATGAAGCTCCACAAAAATAAAATATTTTATAGACAACTCTTTTGTTACTCAGATGATGACAGATTACTTTCTGCAGTTTAAAGTGATTTGTAGAGCACTACTGGATCTGAAGCGAAATATGACAAGGCATTTTTGTAGATTCTGAATACTGTACTTTAATTTTGAAATAAATTGGAATGGTATGTGCTTCAGTTTCTGCTTGTTTAGAGGTATGTGTTATTTCTGTTAGATTGTTTGTTGAAGAATGCTGGAAAACCATTGGCTGTGAAAGTGGTTTTGATGTACCTTAGTTCTTGTACGAGTGCAAATTTGTACAATCCTATTTCACACTGTTGCACAGAAAGGAAACTATCCCTTTCTTTGCTGCTTGTGGTAGTTTGACATGAAGTTCACATTTGTGTGTGTGTGTGTTTGTGTCAGTTTTCTGTAGATATGAGAGGTGGAGTTATTATAATTTAGTTATTCAACTAAAACATCTAAAAAAGGGAGTAAGTAGTTTTTCTTCTAGTTGGAAAATGAACGTCATGTGTTTTATTGGAAGGTCAGGTGTGCAAGTAAATCATCAGTAAGCCAACAACATGTGACTAGATCATTAAAGTATCATCTACATAATATTTACATAGTTTTGATGGTCTTGGAGTAGACTGTAAGGCAGAAACTTCAAAATCTTTATATATATATGTTTCTCAAAATATGGTCAATTGGTGATCACGTGACCAAACCTTCAACTCTTTTAGTTGAAAGCACGAACTGTTGGTACAGAAAATAACAAAAAGTGGTGTCACTGCATCATTACATTCTAATTTTGTTGAATAATGATTTCATTTATTAGTATTTTGGTAAACAAATTTTGAATATTTAAATTAACTAATACATTACTTGACTACGTCCAAGTTCTCAAGTCAAGCATAAAGTTTTCTGTGTTGGTTACATGGCTGGAAGCTTCAGTACTAAGAGGAGACAAGAATGGGACAAGGAACTTCGTTATGTTTGTTTCTGAATTTCACACAAAGCTACATGAGGGCTATCTGCGCGAGCCGTCCGTAATTTAGCAGTGGAAGACTAGAGGGTAAGCAGCTAGTCATCACCACCCACTGCCAACTCTTGGGCTACTCTTTTTCCAACGAATAGTGGATTGACCGTCACATTATAACGCCCCCTACAGGCTGAACGGGCGAACATGTTTGGTGGAACGGGGATTCGAACCAGCGACCCTCAGATTGCGAGTCGAGCTCCCTAAACACCTGGCCATGTCGAGCCGAACTTGGTTATGTGATGATGACTAGCTGCTTACCCTCTAGTCTTCCACTGCTAAATTACGGACGGCTCGCGCAGATAGCCCTCATGT